ATGACCTTTGGTAAGTAATAAATATTACCCAATGATGGAAGGAAAATGAGCATGCGATAAGGATAGCCTATAACTTGACTCTATTAATTGAAATTAATTATCTTCTTCTAGGGCACAAGGTGATACACGATGTAACACCCGCCAGATTGTACAAGATCAATACTTTCCTGTGTCCAAGTATATCATACAAAAGAATATGCTCATTTCTTTGATAAGGCTCAGCAGCATGTTTTAAAAGGTACATGGAATAAATTGGCTTTTGAGTGCTATGGACAATCCTTTTCACCCCCACTTCTAGCTTCAGTTTCTCTTGCTAAAAGCTAAACAGAGACCAAACAACTGGCTTCTCCTATTGGTTTTAGAGAACCTGAGGCTGCCACCAAGAAAAGAAGCCAAGAGTTTTCCTTCTAGCTTTTGTCTAGCTTTCCCTCTATTGCCCCACCACCTCAACCTACTGGGCTTCTCCCACACAACAGTTTGGAGTGCCCTCCAACAAGAAGCTAGCATCTCCCAACCTAAGAGAAGCAAATCCAAAGAAGAAAACTGGACCACTGCAAAACATGGATACACGGCCACAATCAAAAATAATAAGCAATGAGAAAGAGATGTTAGATCAAAGACATGAAGATGATGTCAAGAACTGAATGGTGAGGTATCTCCCATAGAGGGAAAAAGGTAAACTAATAAAATGGAAGGAAAAAAAAAGAACTTATGCTAAATCCTAAATGATGGACTAACAGGTGAGAAGTGCCACGATAACTACACAAAGGCGTGTATTTTCTTTACAAAATGTTCCTAAATGGTAAATAATGTGTGTGTACTGATCAAAAGCTTGATGATATAGATGAGTTACCCAAGGCCCAATGGATCCAAAACCTCAACTCCTTTTGGTAAAAGTCTGTACAGTGGTGAGGACCTTTTTCGAGCAGCAGCAGCTGCTGCTGCTTTCTGATCAAGCTCTTGAATGTTAGGAGGCCACCTTTGCTTCACGGCATTTCTCGAACCCTGCAGCAAGCTTGAGAGTGGAGCAAAGGAAGGTCACTAGGCATTTTTAGCATTAGTATGAAAATGCAAATGTGCAAGATAGCAGGCTAAATAACATATCATTTTCCAAGTATTTGGCAACCATTATCTGGTGAATGCTGATATACAATACAATATCACAATAGTAACAAAATATGCAAGTTGATGAAAATTTTGGAGAAATTGGAAACACGACAAACAAAGAATACAGAGAAATAACAAGAATATGTGGGAGAGTTAATGCTCTATTCCCCTCAAGGAAGTGAACAGGTTTGAATTCGCTGATTACTCTAGGGGCTTGGATGTTGTGGGAAGCACTCGTAATGACTGTGTCTTCAATGGAGCCAATCCAACCTCCAACTTGTGATTAGAAGTTTAGAACCTTACTTGAGGAGACTCATCTCTGGTCCCCTTGCTGGCGCTGAGGGGTTATCATGATTAGAATTAGTCGCTAGGTAGATGGCTTGATTCTGTTCAAGCTTGGTTGTGTGTTTCTGTAACGGGGTGTGTTTGTAAATAGTTTTCTTTTCCTTTTCTTTTTGTGGACAAGGGTTTTGTGTTTTGTACTCTCCTTCTTAATGCAATGATCACTTGGCTCTCCTAATGTATTAGAAAAAAAAAATATGTGGGAGAGATCCCAATGGACCATTCTATATCATTATATTAGTTATTGGAATATTTAGTAAGAAAAAAAACCAAGGTGCGATTTATTACCTTGTTCAGAAATTTGTATAAGCCTAAATTAAACAGTAATGCACATCATCATAGCTGCAGGTAGGCAACTGGTGGGTGAAGTAAGAATTTTGTATGAAGCACAACCATAGCAACTTAAAACACTGGTTATAGTTCCATTAATTAATTGTCAACATCCTAATCCAACATTGGTATAGACTCATGGGTCACACCACGACAGCATTTGTCCATGCCGGTAGCCAGTTTCTAGCATTTATCTATATCGGTATAAGTTCACCATACCAAACAGGCAGGACTACTCAGCAGTGCCACAACTGAACCAACTCACCAGGCACACTAGGTATCACAATTCGCAATAGTTAACCACAGTACCATGAAATGCTGCACGATCACATGACAAGCTAAATTTCGGTGATCAGGACAATCCCAGCCTGCTAAGCAGACGAAATTGGCACGATCAACCAACCGCGCTATCTCGAGAAGGGGCCTAAGCCAGCACGGCAACCACCGCAGCCCGAGATCGAGATCTCTCACGCGGCCATACCTCTGCCTCGTCAACGCGCTTCCAGCTCCTGGGCTCCTCATCGTCGAAGTCCCCGTCGTCCCGTGACGCGGCCTCCGCGCCCAGCGCCCACCCACCCGCGAAGTGGCGGCAGGCGGCCACGGGCGCAGGGGTGTCGTCCTCGTCGCCGGAGGAGATGGAGAGCAGCTCGACCTCCGGAGTCGTCGTCCTCGTCGCCGCCGCGGCTGGGCTGGCGCGCCTTCGCTGCGGGCGCCCCGGCCTAGCGTTGCCGCCGCGGGCGTTGGGGGCGGGTGGGCGGACGAGGTTGACGACGCGGCTTGTTGGCGGCGGGCGGGCGCTGGTGGCACGAGGTCCCGCGCCGCCTGCTCCTGCAGCGCCATCTGGAGGAGCTCGTCCTCGTCGACGTCGCTGTCGCTCGCCATGGCGTCGGGCGCCGGGCCTCGGATCTGGGGCGGGAGGGAGGAGAAAGAAGGGAAGGAGAGAGCGCGTGCGTGTGTTTGATGAAGAGAGAAATTTCGGTCTGGACTTGCGATTTTGAGTGGTCTTGAATCTGCGTGGATCGGGTGGGAATGTGGGGGGATGGTCCGGCTGGACCCAAAGGCTGCTTGCCGAGCGAGAAGACTTAGAGGGCGTTTGCCTGTTTGGGTTGGCACAGCTACTTGGTAGGTGTCCAGTCGCCAAAAAAAAAAAAACTTTGGGAGGTGTCAGTCGGTCAGCCCACAGGCCACAGCGAATTTTTCACCGATCACAGGATTTGCAGACCAAGCATCTGATGCTTAGGCCATCGTTCGCTTGATTTGAAGCGGTATTGCGTTTAACCAATGAACGGTTGTTTAGTTTAAGAAATAGGAAGCTAGAGCAGATTAGAGAGGAGTATACTTACTTTATAGGTGCACGTATGTCTTATAGAAGAAACCTATACGTGGTGCAGAAACTTTTCAATTACTCCATTTATAGTTTATACTTAAGTTGACTCAATTTTCACATTATAAACTTAATGCCCAAGAAAATTGTCGAAACACAAATACCTTCCTATTTCAGAAAACAAAGGGATAATCTAATTTCATCTATGCTTTTGCTATTGCCTTGGTTATTGACTCTTTATAGTTTTTTCCCCACGATGCTGATTTGTTGGCCATGTGTCCGCCATGTTTTAACTTTGTGTCTTTGATCTTCTTGACGGGTTTACTCATACTTCTTGCTTCTAGCAAAGGATGGATTTAGGCATTGGTTTTGAGTGCTAGTGACCAAGATTTGTTGCTTGACGGTCATTTTGCCTACTAAGATAGCAAACAACAAACAGGTCCATAGAGCATCACCAGAAAAATCTTTCTTAAACTCTCTCTAAACCATCATTTAGAAACCCATTTGAACCGAAAGCGTTCACTATATCTTTCCACCATTCAACGACTTTTTATATATCTTATTCGCATTCTAAAGAGTCAATCTCTTTCTTCATTTTTTAGCTAGCGAGAAATCTGAAATAGAGGATGATAATATTTAGAGTTTTGATTAAAGAAGTTGTTCGTGTTTTTTAAATAAGGAAGGATATAGATAGACTTTTGAAGTTGCTCTTAAGTGTTACACAACACGATGAACTAATAAGGTGAGGCTTTCTTGTCCGATCTTGACCTTGGCGCGAGTGCTACCCCTCTAGGCTCTAGCAACTAGCATACATGTGGCACTCTTAAGCTACGTGGTGTAAAAGGCCGGGTTGGCGATGGTCCCGGTTATTGCGTGCTCTTTGGACAATCTAACTAAACGATGGTACTAGTCAAACTTAAAAAGTTTTACCAACACGAATATGATAGTTAAAAAGACACGAACAGTAGACATCACTTAAAACCATTTGTTTAGAGTAAAGTGGTCTAAAGTTAAGTGGCTATAAACTTTAGACCATGCCAATCTCAAGGTGAAACGGCAGCCCGGTTTCCATAGAATTAACTCTGTTGCTACACGTAGAGAAAAATGCTAAGGTGGCGAGGAGTAAATAAAGAAAGAAAGAAAATTACATGAAACGGTTTCTCGGATGAGAAACGACGCCTACTCGCGGCTCAAGATACGAAGAAACTGCGTTTCCTCCGATGGACCTACTCGCCTCCGCGCATTGTTGTCGGAAGAGAGTGTGCGATTGCTTTCGCCAGGGAAGCGCTGCGATCAAGACCGCATGCCATCGTTATCCACAAGCTCCGGCCGCACAGATCCGCATCGCAGATCCCGCTCTGTGAACGCTGGATGCGCACCATCCGCCGCCAGGGGCTTGTTCGCTGAACTTATCACCGCTTATCGATCGGGTATTAATACCGGGTTGAACAGCCCTCGCTTGCCACTTCCAAGGCGATGCTTGCTCGCGAGCGGCGGCTTCGCGCCACGCAAGCCAAAGCCGTCATCCGTCGCTCTGCTCCCCATGCCCCACAGCTCCTCCATGAAGTGGCCGGTGAGAGAGAGATGAGAGGATGGGATGGTGCGGATGTGGATTGGAGAAGAAAAACGTTGGTCCCACGTGGATGGTTTCAGGTTGGGACTAACCTAGGCCGTGTTCTACTGGTCAGGTGGTTGATTGCCTATCGGTCAATTGACCTATCTTACAAAATCACTATTCACGTCCTGCCAGAATAGTATTTTTCTCTCACAACAATTAGTCAAATAAAGATTTTTCAAATCTCGCCTTGAACAAAGTTCTAAGCTCCAACCAAGCAGAAAGTATTTAGGAGGAATCTATAAATTTGTCTACAGTGCCATTTTTATAAACAAAATTTAAACGCTACTCCCTCCGTTCATTTATCTTCTTCGTCGAAGCAATTTTTGTTTCCCAAAAGCCTCCTTCCTATTACCGTCTGTTTGGTTGTGGGATCAGTGGGTTGGAGTGGCTCCAACCCATATTTTGGGGACGGCTTCAACCCTTGATTTGTTTGGTTGCGAGAATGGGTTCGATCCGGTCTTCCTGCTTTGGTTGAGGACCGAGATGGGGTTGGATCCATCCCATTTTCTCGCTTGGTTGGATGGATTCAAATAGAACTCAAGATATGGTCACCTTTACCTTTGAAATGGTGAGGTTACCCTCCTCAATTTATGCAACACATAGCAATATTTCATATGCTTGCACCATGCATCAAAGATCACAAGACACAAAATAATATAACAGAGCACATATAAAAAGTCTTGGCCATATTACAAATAAAGTCTTAGGCCATATCCATAGGCACATTACACACTAATATCAAGTCCGATGCTTTGCACGATGCATCAAGTTCAAGCCTTACACAATATATAGCAAGTTCAAGGCTTCCACATAGCAAGACACTATCTTGCTTAGACCACAAATATAAAGTTCTATGTGGTACTAACAAAATAACCATCCCCATGACTACAACTTACCCCTTACTTGCCTGTAGTAGTTGTCGTGAATGTGCTTTACAACCCAATTGAGTTTATGTTCAAAAGGCAAGGAGTTGAAAGCTCTAGCTATGTGAGGATGTTGGACCAAGTAGGAATGGTAGAAGGATAAGTGAGTCAATTGAAACTACCACTCATAGCCATCAAGTTGTCATACAAATCATCCGGCACATCATTGTCGTTTTCCGCTTCCTTTATCGCCTTGGCTAACTTGGTACTTCCCCATTTAATTGCAAAAGAACCAATGGATCTTGATGGGTCATGGCCCTCTTCTTGCCTCTTATCCTCTTCTTAGGATTGGTGGCCTTGGTAGCTGGATGAAGTTGCCGCATTGTTGTCTTCATTTGCATTCCTATCACTCTGTACCTCCATCCTCTCAGACCTCATTGTCCCAAACATCTCAGATTTGTCTTCCTGTGTACCTAGAGGCACACCAGGTCCTTTGCAAACTTGCTCAGTAGCCATGGTACTTCCAAATATTGTGTGCATCTCCTCAAAGTGTTGAATAGGCTTGTTTAGAAAATCAAGATCAGACTTGTGATCCTGCAATATATGTACAATTTTAGCAACTACTATTATGTGACAACTAATAATTGAGAACTATTATTAGATTATTATATGTGAGAACTAATAATTCATCAAATACCTTAATATGATTGTTGTAGTGCTCATCATCAAGAGTTATAGTGAAGGTATCTTCATCCCAACCAGCAGCACTCAAACCACGAAGGTCACATATTTTACGAAACTTCTTTTGCCATGTCTTAAGGTGATTCTTAACTTTTGCTCACCATCACAGCACAATGCCAAATTTCTCTTGAAGAGCCTTTGCACACCCATTGTAGTGAACCATCTTGAAGGTGGATGAAGTCTTGGTGCCATTAACCACTAAATTGGCAAGGTATTCGAGCATGTAGGGTGACCAAGTTGAAGTCCAAGTAGCATGTCCACCAGTCCACCGCTACCCTCTCGCTTTCATTCCCCACCAAAATAAACAATGCAATATATGTCATCAAATAATAATGCCAACAAAGTAGCAAACAACGTGGCAATCAAATATCTGTAGAAATATGTCCTCAAATACAATTTCAGCCCTCAAATACAATTATTACATTGTCCAAGAAAAAAAAATACAACACATATTACATTGACCGATACTAGTTTCCATGGCTTTGACGATCGCCCACATTTGGGCAAATGTGCCTTCCCTAAAAGCTAGCATAATGGCATTCTCACTTGTCAGTGTCCCAAAGATATGTGGTGTCTTTGGGTGTCCTCGTCGTTGTCACTTGGTATATTGAATTCATCACTCCCATCTTCAATCACCCAATTATAAATGATGCGTAAGCAACAACAATATCAACTTGAGTTTCATAAGGAAAAAAAGGAGAGGCATCATCGTGTACTTTGAATCTCCTTTTAGTGCTCCAAATGCTTGCTCTACTATGATTCTCAATGAGCAAAGGCCTACGGTTGAACAATTCCTTCTCATTTTGCACCGGATTCCTCCCCATTCATTCAAGTGGTATCGTACACCCCGAAAGGGGGCAAAAATCCTGGTTTGGCTCCATATCCAAAGATCAACTAGGTAATATTTACCTAACATATGATGCATAGTTAGGTTACATCTCAATGATCCATTAATTTTGATGAACAAATTTATGGACAAGACATAGGTTCTTGTATTACCTTGTGGCACACGAAGGCCACCCTCACGTGTTAAAGCATCACGTAAAAACTAGTGCGTCATGTGTCTTCCCCTCCCATCCGGCCAACACATAGGTGAACTTTTGGTCAAAATCTACGGTGCCAAAGACATTTTGAGTACAATGCTTGTATCTACCACTAAAAGCATGCCGCATTTCCTTTGAAATAGTGGCTCTTATATGTGTACCATCAAGTGCTCCTATACAATCCTACGTGATGTTCAAAGAAGTCAAGATTAGGTCAATTAGGTTTGGCAAAAAATAAACTTAGAATATGACATAAGGTTGAGCTTCACACCTTAAAAGTATGGATACCACCTTGGGTCTCCTTCAATTTTAATTTTGGAGTGTCCAATGAAGGGGCCTAATATAATCATCTCGTAGCTCACCAATAGCATGAAGTACTTTTTAAAATAACATTGGATCGTGCTTTCTCCGGATCTACCAAAATTGGTTGCAATTACTCTATTCCTAACATTGTTGTGCCCCACAGTATGCAAAAACATTGCCACTTGCTCCTCAACACACATATGAGCGGTATCTTCAAGTAAACCACGATCTCTAAACAACTTACAAAACCTAAAAGAAACGTGCTTTGTTCATTCTCAAAGATGTTTACACAAGTTGTGTCATCCTTCCAGATTTTGTCATTGAGGTATTCCATTCTCTTCCTATCCCTTTCATATATTGGTGCATAAGTAATCCCTTCCATTCTTGCAACTCGTTTTCTTTTTCCTAGACCGAACAACAATTGCCATGACACACAACAACCAATGTGCGTGACAAAAACAAATGCCTTGAGCACATTATTCATCTACATCTGATGACACAATCAAGCACAAAGAAGACAATCAATATAGATCGTAGGTAAAAAAGCAAATATTGAAGCGGACCCCATCCAATTCCATATAAGAGGTAACATGGTCTTAAAATTCATGTAGTTTGGTTCAAAATTACTTACAATTTAAGTCTGAGCACAATATACTCTTTGAAAGACCATCCATAGTTTGTTTCTATTCATAGGGAAAGGGTGCTCCTAACTATCTAGGCGTTGTCACATAACGGCGGCCTTCTGACTTGTCCGATCATGTAGTGAGGTCGAGGGGAGAGGCCCCCTCGCGGGTTCAGGCGCCGCCCTAAACCTCTCGGCATTTCATCAATCGCATCAATGAAGTCGCTATGAAATCGCTATGAAAAAGTAACAACATAACAAGACTAAACCAGTACTCACATGTAGGGATCCGGGCGGAGGGCCGACTGGCAAGCCGGTCCGGCCCAGATGGATGGGCGGCGTAGAGGCGGCGCGACCACCAGCGGAGATCTTGAGCCGGGTCCGGGGCAAGAGGCAGTGAGCGACTCAGGCGGACTGAGGCGGTAGCGGTGGCTCCTCGGGCGTGGCGGACCGAGGCGGGGCAGGCAGCATGGCAAGACAGCCAGGGCGGTGGCGGCGATGGCCGTGCTTGACACTGGCCAGCTCACTGGGCAAGGCGGGGCTGGTGGTCGATGGAGCGATCGAGTGGAGGGAGGTGAAGGGATAAGGTTTGGGGAGGTGAAGGGATAAGGGGTTATTCTTGCGGTGGCAGGTGGATTTCTCAACTTTGGAGCGGGCTCAATCATTGATTTCGACGGAGCAACCAAACCCGCATATTGGAGGAATATTCTCCGAGGTCGAACCCAACCCATCCCAAACCTCCATCCAAACAACCGAAAATGGGTCGAACCCATTCGGTTGGCTCCAGACTCCAACCAAACAGGCGGTTAGATGGGGACCATGGGTTTTGCTCTCTCCCCGAGCGCGCCCGAGACGCCTCAGACGCTGCGCTGCGTATTTGTTGGTTCGCCCTTCTCCGTCGCTTCATATATCTCCGTCCCCTCCGTTAGGACTCCATCGAACGCCCTCCACCGATGCGTCGCGACGGCGCCGCCATCTTTGTGTTTTGTCCGGTGGAACGAGGCCGCCGACGCGGATGATGAGAGAGTCGCCGACGCGCATTTGCGAGGAGGAGGCCATCGTGGCGCCACCAGGTGGGTTGTCGTCGTCGAGGACGCCGTTGCCGCGGCGTCGGGACGAAGGCGTGAGGAACGGAGCTGCGGCGAGAGGACCCGACCCGGTGCCGGGATCAAGGCCGCGGGTCGCGAATCGCCGCCGCTAATTGTCACCGAGCGGCCGATTGCGCTAGCAGCTAGCAGGGGACGAAGATGCCGATGGCGAGAAGGACTGCGACGCCTGGCCGCCCACCCGGCCAAGAAATTAAACTTGCTTCGTAAACGATCATAAATTTCAGTAATAACAGATTTTTCTCTCACCAAACCAAAATGAAATAATAATCCACGTCACGATACGGCCTCCCTAACAGTACGCATATCGATACTCAGATGCTGTGGGATAGTTGTTCGCTGGAATTATCTGTGAATAGGCGCATAGCGATCCTCCACGGTGATTTATATAGGCCATGGCAAAAACAAATTTAAGAGTGGCGGGCAATGAAATTTTAATGCATTCGTGGCTAAATTTTGATGCGGGCAAAAATGAACGTGAGCGCAGCTGGTGAAATTACCTGAGCGCGGCTGCGTGGGACTACGTACGAGAGCGCGGTTATGAGCGGGCTAACGGCGTTTTCATGTACGTGAGCACGCGATTAGTTGGGGAAACGAACAGACGCCGGAGCATTAAGAGAACCGCGGCCATTAAATGAAAATAGGCGATTGTTTGCTGCCCCTTTGCTTCTCCTTGTCACTATGCCGAAGGGTAAAACGACGAAGACTTATGGACGGAGGGAGTATAATAAGGCATTGTTTAAATTTAGGGATTAAAATTTAGAGGTGTTACATAGGAGTGTTCAAATAATAATAATAAAACAAATTAAAGAAGTCCTCGGTACTCCTCGAGACGAATTTATTAAACCTAATTAACCCGTCATCAAAGATATGTTCATCAGAACTTTATCAGTAGCACAACATTATCAAATCATAGACTAATTAGGATTAAAAAATTACGTCTCATAAATTAGTCATAATCACATGCAATTAGTTATTTTTAGTCTATATTATAATATTCTATGTATATGTCAAGCATCCAATAAGATAGGGACTAAACTTTAGGGAAGAACTAAGCAAGCCTAAATACTCTTGCTGACCCAGACAATAATTTGCCAGACCAAAGTTATTATTACATTACAGCGTTTGGCTCAGGCCACGTTTAGATTGTAAGTTTTTTCACTCTCTCTCCATCACATTAAATCTTTGGACACGTGCATGAAATATTAAATGTAGATAAAAAAATAACTAATTACACAGTTTGATTGTAAATTACGAGACGAATCTTTTGAGCCTAGTTAGGCTATGATTGGACAATAATTGTCAAATACAAACGAAAGTAATATAGTCTGTAGAAATATTGATTTCTAACCCCAATCTAAACAAGGCCTAAAAGAAATTTCACATGTTCTGCCCGGCCCAAACTCCGAAGCAGGATGCTGACACTCCCCGACTCCCGCAGCCGTTTCACGGATCACCGTTAGGCCCCGTTTAGATTTAAATTTTTTTTGGATTTTTGCTCATTGTAGTATTTCATTTGTATTTGGTAATTAGTGTTTAATTATGAACTAATTAGGTTTAAAAGTTTCGTCTCGCGATTTCTCACCCAACTGTACAATTAGTTTTTTTTTCGTCTACATTTAGTACTCCATACATATACCATAAAATTCGATATGACAGATACCACGCAAAATTTTTTAAATCTAAACAGAGGCCCTTACCCGAAACACATGGGCCATGACTACAAGATCAGCATAACCCGTCCCCACACGTCATCGTAGATACCCGGGCGACGACTGGAGCTTGGTTGGAGTTGGAGCGCAGTCCCCGGAGGACCCGTCCCGACGAGTCCTTCCGCCTTCGCATCTCTGACACCCCGACCGCCTCCATCCCGTCCCGTCGCCTCGCCGCCGCGACGAGACGACCCCGCCCCTACAAATACGCCGCTACTTTGGCCGCGTCAGCCGCTGCCACTTCCCGGATCCCGATGCCCCGCGCCCAGATTCCATTCTCTTGTCGCATCGCTACCCTGTTCCCAGCTCGGGGCCTCTGACGGGGCCCGAGGCGCAGGCGCCAAACCCCCGCCCCGCCCTAGGGTTTGGGGTGGATCAATCCGGCTAGGTCTCGGCGGGAGCTGCTCCAATGGCGGATCGGGAGGAGGACGAGAAGCTCCAGATGGCGCTCCGCATGAGCCTCCAGGGCTACCCGCCGGCGCAGCCCGAGCCCAAGCGCAGCAAGCCCCCGCCCCCCGCTGCGGAGTCGCCGGAGGCGGAGGCGCGCCGGAAGCAACGTGAGCTCATGGCCGCCGCCGCCGAGAAGCGCCTCCGCGCCGCCGCCTCACCGGCCGCCGTCTCGGTGGCGCGGTCTTCTCCGCAGCCGGTGGTGGTGGAGCCCGCCCCCGCCCCCGCCCCCGCCCCCTCCCCGGAGGCGACCAAAGAGCAGGAGGAGGAGCCGGAGCAAGCTGGCGTATCTATGGAGGAAGCGAAGGAGGTGGTGGTGGAGGAGGAGGAAGACAAAGGGGAGGAGTTGCCTCCAGATGTCGCTGAGAATCTGTGGGCAATGGTGTTTGGGGGAGGGGTTTCAAAGGCTGTCTTGGCGCAGTGGAGTAATCAGGGCATAAGGTGAGGTTCTTTTAGTTGCTACTGTCTCTTCCGATCCTTATGCGTGTAAGGTATGCCTTGGTTTGCTTGTAGATATGGATTTTGGTGGAGGACATTGTAGCTTTCATCTAGTTGTTGGAGCTGATAAAGTAACAACACACAACTCTGATCAGTATATTTCTGTTCCGATGAAGATGTAGTCAGTCTGCGGTCTGCCACAAGAGTGCAGTTTGCTTGTCCGTGCCATTTGTGTTTCTGATGGGCATGCTGATGGGTGTTGAGACCTCCTCTGTTACAATTTTCTTCACGAGCTGAGGATTTATATTGCTTGTGAAAACTAATGGGCTGGGTGTTAGTGCTTGGTGGTGAAAGGATGATAAGGTGACAATCTAATAATCTATGGGCAGCAGTTGTTCCTGTGTAGTTTTGTGACGATGGCTAAAGGGTGTGTGTGTCTGAGATTCGTTATTGGTTCTACCATTGACATGTAGGCATGCTTAACTGCACTAAAGTCTAGGTCTTATAGTGTAGACTGTTTTGAGTTAGAATGGGTTGAGAACAGAGCTGTTGCATGTCAATAACCACTCCCTGCATTGCTAAAGTATGAGGCACACATATTATATATTAGTATACCTGCAACCACAGGGTGCAGGCTAAGGGCACCACTAATGGAGGCTAACACTCTTAGTAGTTCAAGTACAAATAAAGTGATCCACATAAACTAGGAAATGTTGAGACTACTATTCACACAATGCAAACTATCACTACTTGTGGTTTGCACAGAAACTTTTTCCTTTCATCATACTTCACCTTTATTTCCTCTTCCTCTTCTTTTTTAGCATGGACCACCTTCTCTCACCCTGAGCATATGTAGCTTCTGCAAGCCACTATGACAAGTGTAGAGCACCTACTTTTTTTTATCCGATTCTACATGGCACTTGGGGCTACTAGTAAAAAAGCAGCGTTGGGGAAGCCCTAATAACGTAATGTCGTTACTGCTTTGCCCTTAACTGCATGGGCATTTATATAGGCTAGTACCGTAAAAAAGGCAATTTCGGTTCCTGTTTGCAGTATCTAATGGACTACTTACTCAATGTATGAGCTGCTATTAGTTTAATATTTTTATCTTGTATCACTGCAAATACACGGTGTCCGCACAAATGGAAACTGATTTTACTTCTTTGCCCTTTTTTATTGTTCTCTGCATCACAATTACTATGTGCCTAGTATCTTTTATTCTGTTAATAAAGGTGATTACGTTGGATGGTTTCCATTTTTTTCGTTAGCCTCCTTCCCTTATCTGGGTTTTCAGTATGTTGTTAGCTACTTACAATGTATGAGCTGCTATTAGTTTAAGATTCCTTCTTTGAATATGATCTTGGAGCACAAGGCCATGCTTGATAGTTCCCGACATGGTTCTTGGGCTAACAAGCTTAAACTAACATGAGATGTTCAAGGAAACTCTGTTAGTGTTTCTGAAGACCAGAACTAGGGTTTTCAAAGTAGCAACAACAACAACAACAACAAAGCCTTTAAGTCCCAAACAAGTTGGGGTAGGCTAGAGTTGAAACCTGCTGAAAGCAATCAAGGTTCAGGCACGTGAATAGCTGTCTTCCAAGCACTCCTATCTAAGGCTAAGTCTTTGGGTATATTCCATCCTTTCAAGTCTCCTTTTATTGCCTCTACCCAAGTCAACTTCGGTCTTCCTTTGCCTCTCTTCACGCTACTATCCCGGCTTAGGATTCCACTACGCACCCAAGTGCCTCTCCGAGGTCTCCGTTGGACATGTCCAAACCATCTCAACCGGTGTTGGACAAGCTTTTCTTCAATTGGTCCTACCCTTAATCTATCACGTATATCATCGTTCCAAACTCGACCCCTTCTTGTATAACCGCAAATCCAACGCAACATACGCATTTCCGTGACACTTATATGTTGAACATGTTGTCTTTTCGTAGGCCAACATTCTGCACCATACAACATAGCAGGTCTAATCGCCGTCCTATAAAACTTGCCTTTTAGCTTATGTGGTACCCTTTTGTCACATAGGACATCAGATGCTTGCCGCCACTTCATCTACCCTGCTTTGATTCTATGGCTAACATCTTCATCAATATCCCCGTCTCTCTGTAGCATTGATCCTAAATAACGAAAGGTATCCTTCCTAGGCACTACTTGACCTTCCAAACTAATATCTTCCTCCTCCCGAGTAGTAGTGCCGAAGTCACATCTCATATACTCGGTTTTAGTTCTCTTGAGTCTAAAACCTTTGGACTCCAAAGTCTCCCGCCATAACTCCAGTTTCTGATTCACTCCTATCCGGCTTTCATCAACTAGCACTACATTGTCCACGAAAAGCATACACCAAGGGATGTCCCTCGTATGTCCCTTGTGACCTTAGGGTTTTCAAAGTAGCATTTCTAATTTTCTGTATTTTCTTTTGGTGATATTTTATCCAAGGTATATTGAGTAAAGAGCTGTTTTATATTAATGAAGATCCTGGTACACCAATTTTAGGTTCTAAGTCAACAACACCTTTTGATAGAGTAAGTTTGTTGTATATCTAGGATAATGGTTCTGGAGCCTAGAGAGAGCAAGATATAGGGAAGTTAACCGAAGCATCTCGAATGTTGTTTGGTAACATTTAAAAACAAGGATGGCTAGCGGCCTACCATGGATTGTCTTCACAGACCAAAGAAACTGTTTGATATGTAATATTTTGTTGTTACAGATGTTACGAGTGTTTTTGTAAAATGGCGCTTGGTGCTAATGATAGATCAAATGTAGACTCATGTCATGATCCCTGCTTAGGGAACACAAGAAGGTGCTATAATTAATTTATTTGTCATCGTGGGCTGTGGCTTGCTCTAGTCATTTACTAGAAACTTCTTCGGATTGACAAGGACAAGGACAAGTACCAAGTACCAACATTTACAATCTTGCACTATTTGTTGCATGTGCACAAAGTTGCTTGGATATAAAAACAGTGCCAAACATATTATGCTTTTCACTACAAGAACTGAAGGACAGATATTTTTCTTTGTCTTACTGTTGTTTAAAACAACTGCAGGTTTAGCTCCGACCCAGAAACAACTATGGGGCTTGTACAACATGAAGGAGGTCCTTGTGGTGTCTTAGCAACCGTGCAGGTATGTGACATTCCTTAATTTTTTTTGACAGAGGTAAACCCTGCTTTTATAAAGCAAACAAGTATCCGATACATAGTGGCTAGGGATACCAGCTTACAACGAAAGCATAGAAACCTGAAAGCGCCGTGCATAACACCGGCCAAAACAGAGAAAAAACAAGAACACCCTGAAGATAGAAGACCCTCTGACTTGCTACAAGCAAGCAAACGACCTTCGCAAGCTAAAAAGGTAACAGGTCCACAGGACCCAGAGAAGACTAAGCTAAAAAGGAAAAACTAATGATGCTCCTTTCTGCAACTCCACCGGCTTCAGGATAGCGCCCTCCTTCCTGGTGTTTCAAGGCCTTCGGTTCCAAAGAAGAGAGCAAAGCAAACACATAGATCAGACCACAGAACAGTTTCACTCCCCACACAGAAAATCTTTTTAGATGATCCCTTCAATCTCCATATTCTCAGTTTGCTGCCAGAAATTCTGTAGCCACTCTTTCACCTTGTCGACCATGTTTTCCAAGAACTTGACATCTCCCCCCTTCATTAGTTTGCACCATTTATACAATAAAGCAAAGATCTTATAAAAAGCCTCATTGGATGACCCCAGAAAACGTTTTTCTATTGCCATTTTGTTTGGGATTGTCCGAATTCCCCACATCACGATAGACAAAAAAAGTTTAATCTGATAATTCTTGTCATGAATGTCATGAAGGGCTATAAACTGATCAAAGATTTCCTGGACATGTGTAGGTGTCTTATCCCATCCTAAGGCCTCTTTGAAAACATTCCTTCATTTTCTTAAGGGTCAAATTCACCAGTGGCTCATGAAATTGTTTACTGGTGCTATCTAGGCCCCTAAACTTTTTATTGGTGCTATCTAGGTCCCTAAACTTTTAATATGGAGATCTTGGTTCTTAACTTATTAAGTGTGCCACTTGAGGTTCAAATGCTTGCCTACTCTGTCTGTAGCCTGCCTCAAGAACTGCTAAATCAGCATTAACATAGGTAGGTACTTGCTAATTAAGGAGACCTGAAGCTCAAGTATCACACTTAACAAGTTAAGGTACCAAAATCTTCATTTTGTAAGCTCAGGGAGTAGGTACAAGTTTAAGGACTATCGGTGCATCTTACACTGTTCCTAGTTCTAACTACTTGAATGTAGTTTGTGGCATATATTGGGGGCAGAAAGCTTCCCATCCTCTGATCTTCTGCTCAGAATTTCATTGTGCCTTAAAATGTGAACTTCTAATGTTCTTTTTCTAGTTTCTGACCATGTGTTATCAATGCTGTGGATTAAATTTTTTAATGAAAAATGTATGTTGCTTTCATGTATTCTAGATATCATTTAAATTGATAAAATGGTAACTGCTAATATTCCCCTTCTGCCAAGTGGAAGCTGCAACACCAAAATCATTTGGCTTAACTACCTTGAAGAACTTTCACATTGGTATAATCTTTCTCTTTCAACTTCATAGTATCATTTAGAGCCATCCTGATGAAAGAAATCCTTTTTTTTTTATAATCTGAAGTCCAGAAAGACATGCTTTGAGGAGATAAGGTTGGTGTATCCAATTGTTGCATCATTTTTTTAAAACTAAGATAGCTTATCAAATATATACCCTTTTGTATGCATGAAGTCCCCATCTGATTTTAAAGTTTCTTGTTTTTTCAATAATCTAACTATCTAATTCATTGCTTGTTGCTAAATTCCTTTTGCTCTCTGCAAGCTTAACATTTCTGATGGTAGCTTATAATTGGTTTGCAGGCTTATGTCCTTAAATATCTTCTGTTTTTTTCTGATGACTTGAGTAATCCAGAGTTCAGTAACCCGCTGTATACTCTGGGACAAAGACGTTTTTATCAGAGTTCTTTTGCTGCAGGGGATGATTTTTCGTCCCTGACTGATGATAGAAAGACAAGGTGGTTTCTCGTTCCTTACAAATGGTTCTGATTTCAGTATTTTAATGTCATTATTTATTTGTTCAGTGTTTTGTACGAGCCACTATTCTTATGGAATGTTAAACTATTGGCATTTTGGATTCAAATGAATGCACGCAATTTTTGAATTATTACTCTACAGAAACCCTATACATGTATTTGTTGGAGAGACCAAATGATTCCATATCTGTTTTGTGTTATATAATAATACTATACACTCCATAGGATATACATCAATGTACACTTGATATTTTTCTTTAAGCTAAATAACTGTCACTGATGATGTTCTTTGTAGAGCATTGGTTCATGCTATGGTGGAGATTCTTTTTATGTGGAACTGGGAAAAGAGCTGTTGTAGCATCTGTTGCACGTGCAAATCGTGGAGTAAGTGGATGTGGTGGTGATCAGTTGATTATAAGCTTTGATTATTTGGATGTGGCTAATGCTCTTATGAAACTTATTGCAGAAAATCGATGCAGTTTTGGAAGATCTTTCTGTCGAATCAGCAATGGATCTGCAGAAAGTTCTTAGAACAAGTACATTTACTTCAAGGAAGGATGCATTCAACACCCTTTTGGCTAACATTCCTTTGTTTGAAAGTCGACTGGGAGCCATGCTATTTCTTATCTCTGCTTTGCTTTCACGAGGATTGGTATGTGTTTATCAGTACTTAAGTTCTCAACTTGCTTTCATGAGGATTGTCCCCTCTTGACCCAATCTTATGTTCTAGTCGAAAACAAAGTTTTTCAATCTTAAGTTCTAGTGGAAAACAAAGTTTTCATTTGTTAAGTGCCCATCAACCTGTTTGTTGAACCATGTCAACACTATCTTCATTTTCTGACCATGTATAATTGTCCTCTAAGTACAGGAAGATATCCAAGCAGACAGGGATGATCCAAGCCAGCCATTGGTCACTGCTCCATTTGGCCATGCTTCACAGGTATAGATATCATTGTCATAAACATACTCGGTTGTCCCAAAACATTAGGCTGCACATATTTCAAAATTCAAACTTTGTTATCTTATGGCATCAAATAGGTATACTATGAAAATATAATTAATGAAGAATCTAATGATACTTATTTGGTATCATAAATATTATTGTTTTATGGGTGCATTTTTCCTACTCCCGGAGTAGTTACTCCCACCTTCAATAAACAACAATGCGTTTGTGTACATACTCATTTATCAGTTTGAGTATGTTTATATATACTCATGTTATGATACTCCAAATCATACTACATGAAAATTTTCAAAACAACCCATATTTTTTAATATGTTATTCTAATACTATGACAGTAGTATACAAAATAAGTATAACCATATACTCAATGTATGAATGTATACTTGCATACTTGACATACATACTACCATAGATGGTCTAGTATGATCATATACTTAAATCAACATACACTTGTAAGACCATATACACCTTAAATCTAAAGATATACACATGGGAGTAACTACTCCCTGGGAGTAGGAAATAATATCCCATTGTTTTATTATATAAATTTGGTCAAACTGGAGATGCTTTGACTCTTCACGAAAGTTGGAATGACTTATAATTTGAGATGGAGGGAGTAAAAGAGAAATCCGCGGTCAAAGTGTGACCTTGAAGACCGCATAAAGTCAAACTGCACCTTATATTTTGAGATGGAGTATTTTCTTTAGCAGATGTGACATAGACATGACATGTCATAGCAATTAATAATGTGGCTTCTCTTGTATATGTCAATATTAAATGTCATAACAGATATAAGATATTATTTGCCAGTACTATGTTTATGAAAATATAGTAACATTTTATTCTCTATTTATTTTCCACATTGTTCATCATTATTAATACAATTCTGGTCAAATAAGATATAGCGATTTAATTTTCTTTTCAGGAAATTGTGAATTTATTACTCTGTGGAGAGGCTGTTCCAAATGTATTTGATGGCAAGATGGACCTTGGTGGTGGCATGTCCTTGAAGGGCATACCAAACAGTGTTGAAGTTGGTTTTCTTACCCTCCTGGAATCACTAAATCTCTGCAAGGTTGGTCAGTGCTTGAAGTGCCCAAAGTGGCCAATATGGGTTGTGGGAAGTGAAAGTCACTACACTGTCCTTTTCGCCCTGAACCCCAACGTTCAAGAGGAGAATGAGCTGGAAGAGCACGAATCAAAAATAAGAAGGGCTTTCGATGCCCAAGATCAAAGTGGAGGTGGAGGCTTTATCAGCGTTGAGGGCTTCCAACAAGTCCTCAGGGATACTGACATAAATTTTCCTTCGGATAAACTCGAGTACCTATGTAATGCTGGCATTATAGTATGGAGTGAATTCTGGCAGGCATTGCTACAGTTGGATAAAAGGGCCGGAGGCATGATGGATCCAACTGGCCTTATGGGCAAGAAGCAATTCACCATCTTCCACTTCAATGGAATTGCCAAGTCTGTGCTGAATGGGAATGCAAGTGCAGGTGGCTCATGCCCTATACAGAGACCCAGGTTATGCAAGCTAAATGTCACTGTCCCCCCAAGGTGGACCCAAGATGAGTATCTGGCTGATGTTGTAAGCGCATCAACCAGCAGCAGCAAGGATGACAGTATTCTTTCTCTAGCTCCCCCAGTTCAGACTAATCAGCATGCACCATTGGTGGACTGCATTAGGACACGGTGGCCACGAGCTGTTTGTAGCTGGGCTGGAGATGTTCCAAGTATTGTCTGACACAGTGGATGTTGTGTGCGCCAGTCACTAGCTATGTTGCTCATAACCCCGTTCAGAAGAATCTGCTCAGAGCAAGCCACTTGGAGCTTCCAGATTGTTCATGCCCTGCAAAAAAGGAATCGCTCAATTACATGGTTTTTTTTCCGTCAAAATGAGTGATGTTTTAATGTGATTTTTATCAAGGGCCTGGATATTCTTTTTGCCTTTGTTGACATTAGATGTATACTTGATTTATGGATATGTTTTCAGTCTTGGGTTACATTCTTTTCTGTACACAGATAGTTTTGTTGTGTTTTTCATTTCATCTGATACAGTGAGTTGTCTAGCCAGAAGGCTGCTGAGTAATCGAGGATCAAACAATCAAACTATAATAATCATATCATGCCAGTGTACCTTTTGATTTTACGTCAATGCACAACAATGATCGTAACATGTCATATTTATTCCCTTTGTTTTTTGTTTGGGTTGTCTCAGTCTGAATCTGCTTATGCACTTCCCTTGTTTACGTCAATGCTGCTATTGCTTCACAGGTTCGCTATACCCTAGCGCATCCTAGGGCGTGCTTTACTGTTTGGTACTTCCGATTTTTCTTACTTTCAAAGTTTCATGGTGATCATCAATTTTTGTACTTAAGAGTCAATATATTTATTTATAACACCAAATAATTGCACTAGTGTAACACTCATGAATACTTAGGGAATAAATATGTGTTTTAAAGATTAAGAGTCTATATATTTATTTATAATGACAAAAATAATTGCACTAGTGTAACACCCATGAATACTTAGGGGATAAATATGTGTTTTAAAGATTGATTAAGTTTTTTTGTATAAGTTTTGACCAAGCACTTTAAAGGGAGTTAAAGAATTGATTTAGGCCTTGTTTGGATGTACTCTTATCCACCTCAATATATGTGTGTTGGAGTGGATTGGGGTGGAAATTAATTTAAGTTTTACTCCTATCCACTCCAACATATGCAGATTGAAGTGGATATGGGTATATCCAAACAAGCCCTTGTTGATTCATGCAAATGGATGATCAAAGGCTATGGGTGTGTAGAGCTCGTGGAATCTGTTTGACTACCTACTTGTTTTGTCTAGAATTTGGATGACAAAGGTGTTCAAGGTACGAAGGCTGGCGAAAAGCGCTGCAGTAACCACATGCTACAGTATAAATCCAGACTTTTCTTTTCTTGGTTTGAGTTGAAATCCTTCCTCTATCTAAATTAGAGTCAAGCCCCACAAATCTGGAGCCACTGCTCCTCTGTCACACCCAACATTTTTAATTTTGAGTTGTGCATAGAAAACACTAATTAAAATAAATGTTTTAATATTGGATAAAATTTCCTAAGTTTAGTTTAAGTTAGCGTCAATTAGTTATATAAAAAAATGTGAATCTTCAAACTTTTGTGAATTAATTTGATGGACTTTTGCTTGATGTGATGTTTGCTTGTTGCTTCTTTGTCTGTTGAGAGTGAGCAAAGTCTTTAAAATGTGTTTAGAAGGTCGATCTTCCCTCCCCGGCACACTTTTATCTTTTTCTAAAATTAAATTCCTTGATTCCCAGCTTAAGCTTTTGTTCGGAGCTTCTCAAAATCTTTTCTTTGTAACCCAAATCACTCCTTTGAGTTCCTCGTCCGTCAACCAATCTTTACAAACTTTTTGAGAATTTTTTCAGCTTTTTCTAGAACTTGTTCGCACTTTTCTGCGAGCATAATCTAATTTGGAGATGCTCCAAAATATATTTTCATGAGCTCCAAATACTTTATTTGGGTTTCTCATGTTTCATAATGTCTCTTAGAATTTTCTTCAAATTTTTGGAGCTTTTAGAGTAATTTTCGTGGCTTTAATATTAATTCTAGACTTTTCTAAAATTATTTTATTCACGAAATTAATTAAATCTGAAAATAATAAAATATCTCATTTTCACCGACCTCAAACTGATATATATGCCGGTGTTGTGCTCGACACGCTGATTACAGATCTAAAATCGTTTTACCAAGCCGCCACTCATAACGCACTACATGTAGCGCCGAAGTTTGGAAAAGCCAGGTTTCCGGCGAACTGTCCGGCGAGCTTTTTCGGTCAGACCGTCGCGTTCCGGCGGCAACAAACACCACCACCACGAGGTTTGTATCGTCGTTCTCTGCACCGTGCTGTCCTTGTTTTCATAAATCTGTCGCCGTATGACTGATTTCAGATCGTTTCTTTGTTTCCGGCAACTTTCCGGCGAGCACCTCCACGAACGTTGTGCTGCTCATCGTGTTTCCGGCCAACCAGGCCCTTGCTCGCGTCGGCTGGCCTCCTGCGACCTCACCGCGCGATCTCCGGTGCCGCGCCACCGCGGCCCCTGGCCAACGCACCGCCCGTGTCCCTCTCGCGGCATGTCGCTGCCTGGAGCTCTGCGCGGTTCGTACAGCAGCCACCACCGCCACTTGATGCCTTCGCCGCGGGACCCACGTGGGTCTGGCGGGCCACGCTGTCGCCGGTCCGGCCGGCTGAGCCCCTGGCCGAGGCCTTCCCCTTCCTCCCGCGCGAGTACAGCGGCAGCAGTCATCCATCGACATGGCCTCCACGTTCTGTACGACATACACAAGGTAAAAGATGAAGCTATTTATAATTTTGCCACTGAACGAAAATAGCAATAGTTTATTCGTTTAAATTCCGTTTGGCTTCGTTCCGGCTGTGTTAGATTTGTATCGACGTGATCTACACGTTAGCAGCAACGTTTTTCATGACACATGTTTATATATATATATATAGTTTAATATTTAATATTAATTTAATTAATATACATGTAACTAGTTTTATAATTAAAAGCAAACATAGGTTTTATACTCCGGTGTTATGTATAACAATATTAATAAGAGTAATTGCTAACATTAATATGCTTTTAAATTATAAACATATATAGCGAATTAGATAGATGTATGTACTCACATCGTAATTTGTTCTTTTGCAAAATAAAGTTTAACATAATTAAATTATTATGTGACGATGTTTATAAATAAAACATAACTAGCTTAACTCGGTTTTAAAATAAAATGTGATTTGTGTAATCTGAATTAATAATGCGTCATATAGTTTTACTTAATTAAAATATATCAAACACGTAGTCTTTTCTTTTCTTTTATGTACAGATCGTATTCCTTTTTTAATCGTAGCTTCGTTCTCGGCGTTTCTTGTGATCTCGTGACTGTAGCATCTAGCCCTCTTTTAGTACGTTGATTTATCTTGTGTGGTGTACTGCTTTTTAGTTGCTTTTGTTTCTTGCTTGTATGTTTGCCTACACGTGGTGCTTGCTACTGAGTAGGGGCGAGAACCGTTTGTGAGCTACCAAGATCGAAAGATGATGATCGGAAGCAAAGTACGAGGAAGTTTGAGCAAGTGTAAAAGGCAAGTATAATATGTGGCTTTCATGGATACCTATTCACCATTAATGCCACTACATACATGCATGTGTCTAACTTGATCAACCCTTAAGAATTTTATCCTAGCACGTTGTTATCTTGATCCTTGACACCTATGTGGTTTATGCATATGGGTAGTTTTGCTAGTTGCTCTACATAATGATGAAAGATCCATAATATTTGCTAATGGCATATGCAATGATGTTTAAAATTGTCGGAGACCAGTACTAGGGTACCCGAAGAGGAGAAGCTAATAGCCATCAACATTGATTCATCCCAGCAGTCAAGAGCGTGACTACAGCTCCAACCGACCCCCAGGCGCACAAGCTCCGCCTCGCCCGGCCTCTGAGGACGGGCTCCGCCTCGCCCGACCTCTAGGGGCGGGCTCACTTCACTGCGACCTCGAGGATGGGCTCACCGCCTCGCCACACCGAGGCCACGGCTCCGCCTCGCCTGGATCTGAGGGCCAGGAGGCTCCACCTCGCCCGACCTCTGAAGGCTAGCTCTACCTCGTTCGGCCTCTGGGGGCGGGCTCCGCCTTGATCGACCCCGAGGTTGGGGGATTTGTCTTGCTCGACGGAGACCCATACCGCCACCAACCACTCTAGGTCAGCGAATGGGCACAGGTCAAAGCTCGACACCGTGGAGGTGACCGACACGCCCCCCATATAACCCGTGGTCGTGATAGGCCATACACCGGGATTCACATCGAGGGAACAACGTCCGAGCGTGCCGGTGCTATTATGCCTAACCCTCATAGGAGGACCGATAGGCACGTCGGTTCAACACGACGTCCGCTAGGGATGCAGTGGAGCGCCACCACCGGAGATTTACGCTGCGCATGGCGCCCGGTGGATTTGATAGGGCCCACGACGTGGAGCTGTCCGTGTTGATGTCTCACAGGTCGGCTGGGACCCACGTGAAGGAAAAAAAGAAGGACTCGGCGATCCTCGGAGGACCTTTTCTCCTTCTCATTCTCCTCTTTTCCCTCCACTGTAACCCGTACTTTCCCTTAGCCTATAAAAGGGAAAGCAGGGCATCCCATTAAGGGTATCGCAACACATCGCATCGATTCGGACTAGAACCCATTGAACCCTAAACCGATTAGAACACATAAGCATACGATCAAGCGAAGCAGCGAGCTCTCAAGACCCGTTTGCTCCTCTCACCGAGACTTGGGAACCTGTCCTCTCTCGACCGCTTGTAACCCCTACTACGAACTTTCGATTACTAGTAACATGAGTAATGACAATGAACCGGATGTAGGGACATTCTACCCGAACCAAGATAAACCTCGTGTCCTCTTAGCACACCATCCGAGCAGACGCGCAATATTAGAAATTTACTAGTCGGTGGCAATTGAAACATCGGCGGTTAGGCGCGCCGGTAGGGGCCTTTTGCACGTCTCGACATCCACACTAGGCCTTGGATGGCTAGTCACAACCTCAGCTGGTTCCGGACGCGCGTGCGCTTCGGGGACTTGGACTTCATCGTCACGACGGAGGGAGAGTTGGCGACGGCTCCCTCCGCCGTCCGACCTCTCCACTCCGCCGGCCTCGACGCGATCACCGAGGCGCTTGAGGAGCTATAG